GCAGTGGACGCCTTTCTGACATCACCGGTGGACTGTGACCTGGGCAGTGGACGCCTTTCTGACATCACCGGTGGACTGTGACCCGGGCAGTGGACATCTTCAAGTCCCCCAGGTGATTCTCACGTCGATTCTCACGTCGACCACAGCTCTGGGCAGTCACTGCTGCCAGCTGACATCAATGCTGCAGTTGGAATTTATCTCCCATCCTTGTTCCTGCTGATGTCCGCCAAGGAGTCTGCTCCAGCCACTCTGTGTAAGTGGCTGTTTAAGGGAGGGCCTCCCACACGCTGCTGGACGTTCGATCCTGCCGTCTGGGTTGTGGCTTAGACCAGTGAATCAGAAGGTCTGGGCTGGGAGCCGAGCATCTGTTTGTCAGAGGTATCCAGGGGCCTCTGGTCCACAGCAGGGTCTGGGAGCCACTAGTTTAAGAGGAAATGAAGCATTGTTTCAGTTCATGTAAAGATTTCTGTTACTGGAAGCATGCACGCTCCCATCCAGTCCTTTTAAAATCAAATGAAAAGACACACGCTAAGGTGTCAGGTACGCCCATCCAGGTGCGCAAGTCCATGACCACTGCATGGCTCCCACTGCCTTGCCTGCATCCTGCCATCGCTGCTGGAGTACAATGGCATTTTTCCTCTTGCTTTTCATTTCTGCCCTAGGAGCAAACTGGAAGTGGATGACATGGGGAAGAGGGCCTTGGGTACCAGGTCACTCTCCTTGTTCTTGAGGTGTTGGTCTAGTGGCTGCCACCTGCTAAACTTTGGTTGGCAGAAACAGAACTGCCACAGATGTCTGACTTAGCTGATGGGACAAAGCTGGGTTCTCTGTGCCTTCTGTTTAGCGTGCACTCATGCACAGGGGTCCTGTCTTCATTCCTGACAGACCCAGAGGGAAGAGCTGCCCCCTTGCCAGCTGTGAGTGGAGCTGTGGCATCATCCTGGGATATCCCCAGCAATGCACTTGGGCCCTTGACAGTGCCCTGTGATGAGAGAATGAAGTGATCAGTAGCTGAACTCTTCCCAGGAAGCCACGGGGCCCTGAACACAGTCCTTCTCAAGTCCTGATGCAGTCAGGCTCTGAGCAAGAGTCCCGTATCCAGTATTTATTCTTCATGTACTCAGCAACGTTTATTGAGGACCACCACCAGCTGCAGGCAAGGCCAGGCCGTGGGTCTCAGTCAGCATCCTGGCCTTCCAGGAGCTTCCCACCAGTGGGAGAGATGAGGCCTGTCATCCGCCATGGGAAGCATGAGATGGACTTTGATGAAGGGAGCTGAGGACCTCATAGTCACGTCCATGTTAAAGCTGCATGGACCAATAGGCTAGGCACAGAAGTCTCCCCTGATTGGTTCACGGTCCATGCCAGGGGCAGGACCAAGGTGACTTCTTGCTGTCATGGTCGGCAGTGATGTGGCTTAGAGGGCGAGTTAATCTGTATTTAGTTTGGGGGTCGCCTGAGCAGAATGCAGGCAAAGAATTAAACTTGGGAGAAAAGCTGACGGTGAGAAGATGAGTTTTGAATGTGATGTTAGTGCACCTGGGGCCTCTGGCTGAAAAGGAGGGCCTTGAGCTCTGGAGGGAGGGCAGGGTGGTGACATGAGTGCAGAGACATTTGCAGGAGGTGGCACTGCATGTGCTCTTCCATCAGGGATGCACATGGTGATGGGACGTTTGAGAGCCAGCCCACAGACCACACGGGGAGCTGGTTTTGATCCCGCCTCTGCTGAAAATATCTGAAATACATTTCTCACAGGAACTGAGGACAGAAGCGATTGCCAGACCTCTGGAAATAAACGAGACGGAAAAGGTGATGCGGATCGCAATCAAAGATGTCCTGGTAAGGTGGCTTTGCTTGGAGTTTATTTTTTTCTAAATTTCATTTTTTTTTTGTCATTGAAAACATATACAGCAAAACATGCTCCATTCCAGCAGCTTCTGCAGGTATAATTTAGTGACGCTGATGACATTCTTGGACTTAGAACCACTCTCACCGTACTTCTGGGAGATGTTCCTCCCTTAGTGACATAAACTCATTGTCAGCCCAAAGTTTCCTGTCTAACCTTTCAAAGTGCTGTTGCCCTTGATCCAAGATACTTTGTTTCGATTTGTTATTTTTCTGCTTGAGACTCAGAGGATTTATTTCCTGGCTGCACCTGCATCAGACAAAGGGGGATGTGAGTGGAGAAATGAAAATTTTAGGAAAGTTGAATGTGAGATTTCTAATTAGAAGCCTAAGTAGAAATGAGAAAAATTCTGGAATATCTAGAATACATACTAGTATTATTTTTCTTTGTCATTATTAGCATGAGCGATCTCTCATGCTATTAAAAATGCTTTCAATTGAATAATATTAAAAATTTTTCAAGAATTTTAGTGCTTAATGCTTCTTGGATTCTTCATAATCTTCGAATCCATCCCTTGTGCTGGGCATGGAAATGGCTTCCAGGCTTTCTGAGTTCTGGGTGTCACTGTGATAAGTGACGTGAGCTCAGCCTGTTCTGCTCTGCCAATGTCACTTATTACTGGCCCATCACATTGTCATCAGTCAGAAGGCAAACAGTGAGGAGAATTCTAGCCTCAGGCAGCCTGGGTTCGAGTCACACTGTGTGGTGTTTGGCCAGTTCTTGGGCCCCGCAGTGCCTCACTTCCCTCACTGTAAGATGGGGAGGAGGAGCAGTGCCAGCTGCACAGGGTGCATGTGACTTTCGACAGTGCCCATAAACCTGCTCTCGGGCACGGGGTCGCTGCTCAGGGATCCACAGTGATTGGGGAGGCTTATGTAAGTTAGGAGTGGCCATGGAGCTAGAAGAGGCTGTGAGCTGTACAGGATTCCCACAGTGATGGCTCACTCCAGGACCGTTGGCATTGGACGGCAGTATCCTGGGCAGTGCAGCACTGGACTCGGAGCCTCAGCAGGAGGAGACAGGCATGGTGGCAGGGGTGGGCGCTGTGCCATTCAGGGGAGTCGGTCAGCTACGTAAATATATGAAGGGTGGTGGAACCCACTTTCTCCCTGTTGCAGGAGGGGGTTAGAGATAAAGGGGAGATGAGAATGAATCCTGCATTGGGAGATGTTGGTTGAATGTATGGTTTTCAACAGGTACATAGATAGCTATTGGGGTAAGTATCCCCATACATGGGTGTATGTATAGGGAATGTCGGGGTGTGTGTGTATAAACACACATGCACATGCACATGCACACATATACCCACATATGTTTCCTAGCTTTGAGCATCCCAACAGCAGCCAACACACCTGGCACCCACACCCTGGCTTCTGAATGCCACTCTCCCCTCAAAGTGCCAGACTGTTTGGGACAATGGCTGGTTCTAGAGGTGGGCTGGGAAAAGGATGCGATGACCTGGTACATCTTACACCTCAAAGCAAGGAAGTGCTCAAAGAAAGCCGGGTCCGTCGAGAGAACACAGGTTCCAGCTCTAGTGAGCCTCCCCTGTCCACATGGGAACAGCCTCTCGACACTGCTCAGGCCCTCTCTCTCTGTCACCCTTCCCTTCCCTGGGCATCATCCGCCATCAGGATACTGATGATCTTTCCTGTTTCCTAGGTCACTGCCATGGGCCCAGGAAGTAGCTGGTCAAATGACTGAGTGCTTGGGGGTGGGGCTGAGGGTGGGGTGTTTGCTTGTTGCTTTGCTTTTGTTTTGTTTAGTGTCGTGTCCCAATGTCTGAGGAGCTGAGTCATTCCTCCCTTCAAGAATCTGAATGGTGGTTTTATTGGCATCTTGTTTCATTTATTCCACAAAATGTCAGGCCCAGGTACAGAGGACCAAAGACCTGCTCAATAACGTGGCCTCGGATGAGGCGAATTTAGAAGCCAAAATTGAAAAGAGAAAACTGGAACTTGAAAGAAATCAAAAGCGACTTCAGACCCTGCAGAGTGTCAGGTGAGTACAGACACCCACGTACCGAGAACACCCAGGTGGGTACAGTCACCCTGGTGCTGAGTGAGCAGAGAATGTCTTTGAAAGTCAAAGCAAAGGCCGAGAGGATAGGATGGCTGCGATCCTGCCCCTCCGAGCAGTGGAAACTGTTGTGTTAGGCACTCTCTGTTGGGGGGGCACGTGGTTTGCCCGTCCTGACCAGCCCACTGTAGATGCCTTCTCTTCACTGCTCTCCATGTGTCTGGGAGGTAGCATAATTCTTTTTTATTTTTTATGTTTTTCATTGTGGTTTGGGGGAAAGCAAATGGGTTTTCCATTCAAGAGTTCATACACATTTTGATTCGTGACACCGATTGGAGTCCCCACAATGTAACAGCTTCTTCCCGCTTCCTCCCTGTGGTTCCTGTTTCCCTTTGTCCTTTCCTGCCCCTTCCTGCCTCTGAGCTTCCTCCTGGGGCAGTGCGACCCCTTCGGTCTTGTATGGTTGGTCGGTCAGAGGAGTGTGTACTTGTCTGGTGTCCTTTAGAAGGGTGATCCCACAGAATGTGGAAATTATCGAACAATATCATTAATATCACACATAAGTAAAATCTTACTGAAGATAATTCAAAAACGGTTGCAGCAGTTTACTGACAGAGAACTTCCAGAAATGAAAGCTGGATTCAGAAGAAGATGTGGAACGAGGGATATTGCTCATGTCAGATGGATCTTGGCTCAAAGCAAGGAATACTAGAAAGATGTTTACTTGTGTTTTATTGACTGTGCAAAAGCATTTGATTGTGTGGATCATAAAAAATTATGGATAACATTGAGAAGAATGGGAATTCCAGAACACTTGATTGTGCTCATGAGGAACTTGTACACAGACCAGGAGGCTGTTGTTTGAACAGAACAAGGGGACACTGTATGGTTTAAAATCAGGAAAGGGGTGTGTCAGGGTTGTATCCTTTCACCATGCTTATTCAAACTGTATGGTGAACAAATAATCCAAGAAGCTGGACTGTATGAAGAAGTACGTGTCATCAGGATTGGAGGAAGACTTATTAACAACCTGCGTTATGCTGATGACACAACTTTGCTTGCTGAAAGTGAGGATGACTTGAAGCCCTTACTGATGAAGATTGAAGACTACAGTCTGAAGTATGGATTACACTTCAATATAAAGAAAACAAAAATTCTCACAATGAGACCAATAAACAGCATCATAATAAATGGAGAACAGATTGAAGTTGTCAAAGACTTCATATTACAATCAGCACCAATGGAAGCAGCAGTCAAGATATCAGACGTCGTATAGCATTGGGCAGATCTGCTGCAAAGGACCTCTTTCAGTTGCTGAAAGCAAAGCTATTTCTTTGAAGACTACAGTGCACTTGACACAAGCCATGGTTTTTTCAGTCGCCTCATATATATGTGAGAGCTGAAGAATGAAAAAGGAAGACCGAAGAAGAGTCGATGCTTTTGGGTTGTGCTGGTGAAGAATGTTGAAAGTACCATGGACTGCTAAAAGAACTAACAAATCTGTCCTGGAAGAAGTGCAGCCAGAATGCTCCTTGGAAGTGAGAATGGCCAGACTTCCTCTCACCTACTTTGGTCATGTTGTCAGAAGGGACCATTCCCTGGAGAAGGATGTCATGCGTGGCAAAGTGGAAGGACAACAAAAAAGGGGAAGGCCCTCAACAAGATGGACACAGTGGCTGCAAAGATGGGCTCAGGTACAGCAGGGATCGTGGGGCTGGTGCAGGACCGGGCAGTGTTTTGTTCTGCTGTACATGAGATCATGAGGTCGCTGTGAGTCAGAGACGACTTGACGGCACCTAACAGCAATAGCCTTCAAGATTGCCTTTGTGAAACCCCGAATCTCTTTCATGGTAAAACTTTTCTGTTTTGCTTAAGTCTAAAGATTTTTTTTTTTTTTCAGTTCATCTATTTCTATTTTTAAAAGAACCAAACTCTGTCTTTGGGATTAATAGTAAGAGAAGTAACAAAGTTCAGAAAACCAGTTCAAACAGGTTTCTACAGCCTTTGCCCGAAAACAAAGCTCAGATGGCAGTAAGGGGCAGGAAAGGACGAATGGGAACAGGGAGCCTGGGAGGAAGTGGGAAGAGGCCTGTTACGCTGAAGGGATTGTAACCAGTGTCTCGCAACAAAATGTGTATAAATTGCTGAATGGGAAATTTATGTGTTCTGTAAATTTTCACCAAATTACAATAAAATGTCCAAGAACAAACTCAAATAATAATAATAAAAAAAAACCCTCAGTGGCCTTGGTCCCAACTCATAGCGACCCCTCCTTGGGTTTCTGAGGCGGTATCTCTACAGAAGTAGGTTGCCCAGTCTACCTTCTGAAGAGTGGCTGGTGGGTTTAAACCACCAACCTTCTGGTTAGCAGTCAGATGCCTTAGGTGCTACACCAGCAGGGCTCCCTCAAGAACAAAACTTGCATATAATTTGTAGGCACCACTGTTTCCCGGTTTAGGGAACAGGTTACATTTTGGCACATCCAGACAATAGAACACTTTACCCAGCAAAGATGGTACTGTGTCCAGACAGTAGGACACTACCCAACAAAGATGGCCCTGTGTCAGCGATTGACATGGAGAGGTGTGTGGGACAGGATTCTTCTTTAGATGTTTCTTGATGTCCATGGTGTATTGAATGAAAAACAAGATGACAAAACCTCATTTATGGTGGTATTTAATGTTTGAAGAAGATGCGCTCCACTATGTACCTGTGCACAGAAAAGTCCGGAAGGTTGGACACTGGGTGGGCTAGACGCCAGGTGGGCTGGACGCCAGGTGGGCTGGATGCCGGGTGGGCTGGACTCCGGGCAGGCTGGATGCCAGGTAGTGGGTACTTTCATCTGAGTAGGTTGTTTTGCTTCATTCTTCACACTTTTATAATTATTTCAAATTTTTTCAAAGAGCACATCTTTTATTATTATCACTTTTATTGTGGTGAAAACACACAACAAAACATTAGCCAGCATAAACACTTCCCCATTTACAGCTCAGAGACGCTGATGACATTTTCCATGTTGTGCTACCATTATTGCTGTCCTTTTTCAAAATATTCCATCACCATTAGCATAAACTCAGTGCCCCGCAAACACAAGCTTTCCCTTTCCCCTTCCCACCTACCCCTGGTAACCACTAAGAATCTTTGTTTTTGTTATGTGCCGTCGAGTCAGACCTGACTCTTAGTGATCCCTCCTTGGGTTTCCGAGGTGGTATCACTACGGAAGTAGATTGCCCAACCTTCCTTCCGAGGAGGGGCTGGTGGGTTTGAACCGCCAGCCTTCTGGTTAACAGTCAAGTGCCTTAGGTACTACGCTACCAGAGCTCCCAAGAATCTTTAGTATGTATGTATGTATGTTGTTGTTATGTGCTGTTGAGTCGGACCTGACTCATAGCGACCCTTCCTTGGGTTTCCAAGGCAGTATCACTACGGAAGTAGATTGCCCAACCTTCCTTCTGAGGAGTGGCTGGTGGGTTTGAACCGCCAGCCTTCTGGTTAGCAGTCAGATGCCTTACACGCTGCACCATACATGTAATATATAAACCTTTCCTTGATTTTTTTACGATAGTGAACTAATGCAATATTTGTCCTTCTGTGATTGACTTACTTCACTCAGCATTATGTCCTCCAAGTTCATCCACATTATGTGGTATTTTGCAGATTCTGCATAATCAAAGAGCACTTCTTATTTTATGATTGAAAAAAGATACACTTGCATTTTGAGAGAGGGAAGGTAGCTTTAAGCAGTTATAAGAGTGAGGGACTTGTCCAACAAGAGGGTTCCCAAGAAAACCTCGGTAGGCTCTGAACGCAGAAGCACCACGTCGCGCTCCGCCTGCAGGTGAGCGTGTCATTGGCTGCGTCTGGTCTGCAGGCCAGCCTTTACGGACGAGTACGAGAAGACCTTGGTGGGCTCTGAATGCAGGGGCGCATGTCGCGTGCGGGTCAGAGTGTCACTGGCTGCGTCTGGTCCGCAGGCCAGCCTTTATGGACGAGTACGAGAAGATTGAGGAGGAGCTGCAGAAGCAGTATGACGTGTACCTGGAGAAGTTCCGCAACCTGGCTCACCTGGAGCAGCAACTCGAGGACCACCAGCGGCTGGAGCAGGAGCGCTTTGAGGTAAGTACAGGTCCCTTCGTCCGGCGGACCGTCCTGTGGTGTGGCGGTTTATGCCTGTTGACAGGTCAGTTTGTAAACACCCTTGTGAAGAGAAGTCTGTGGACGTGTTCTCCCTGGTCCGTCTGAGGATGGTGTGTGTGATTCTGTTGTTTTGTGGGCAGTGTGTGGCCTGGACTCCCAGGGATTCCAGATCTCTGTTGCTGTGTTACCATCAGGGTGTAGTCATCTGGGACTGCAGACAGCTGGCTTCATGGACACGTGACCTGAGAAGTGAGGTCATGGACATGTGACCTGCGCTGTGTGCAGAGGACTGTGCCTGGTTTAATGCCTTACAGCTGCTGTCTTGGGAGACGTAGTCACTTTTTTATTATTCTAATTATAATAAAATATTTAGTCATTTTTTATAAAAAACACTTTTTGTATTTTTGGTGAAAGAGTACAGAGCACCACAGTTCCCATTCAACAGTCTCTGCATGTCATGTTTAGGGACATTGGTTACCTTCTCCGCTTTGTGTCACCATCCTCATGATTTCCGCTCTAGGTGTTACCCTGGTCTCACTCCCTTCAACCTTCTCAGCTGTGCCTCAATGTGATTGTGGCTCATTGCATAATCATTCTTTAACGAAGAGACCTACATTTTATTTTTCACCAAACCCTACAAATCATGGAGCCAATCTTGAATGCAAAAAACCAAAACCAAACTCAGTAACGTCGAGTTGATTCTGACTCAGTGACCCCCATTGGGTTCCTAAGGTGGTAAATCTCTACAGAAGTAGATCGCCCCATCTTCCTTCCATGAAGCAGCTGCTGGGTTTGAACTGCCAACTTGAGTACAGATCTGAAAATGTGCTTGGTTGGGTCACTCAAAGATTGTCAAGCCTTGGTTAATTGAGTCACCTGAACTGGCTCACCAGAGACTGCTCTGTGAAGCAGACTGGTCCTTGACTGGTTTATAGTAGGAGGTATGTAGGACGCAGAACCAGCTGTCTGCAGATCCCTTCATCCCAGTGGGCAGGGCCACTCAAGAAAGAGTGTGCCAGGTGCAGGCAGGAGCTGATACAGGTGGGATTGAGGGCAGAGGCAGCCAGGTTGCTGTCACCCTTTGAATGACCTTTTGCCTCGGGTATTTCAGTTTAACCTGGATGGTCATTTAGCATCCCTGTCCCTGCTGGAATGGGTCGCCAGGTTCCCTTTCTCACACTGCCTGGGGCACCTCTTGGTATAAAGGTATCCAGCAGTCTACAGACCTGAGCACGGGGTTCAGGTGGAGTTATTCTGTTGGCCGTGAGGGCTGACGTTTCTGGCATATTAGTAGGGACATGTCTACCCTGGTGAGTAGCCCATTGGCACCACTGCTGTGTAGCAGAGAGGCAGGCTGGGAAGGAGGCCAGGACCTGGGAAGGCCAGGCATACAGAGGGTGTGCTTTGAAGATACTGAGAAAAGGCTGGAATTGAGGGGATCTGGAGCCTTGGGAACCCAGGGCAGAAAGGCAGAGAGCCCATGAAAATCCTCGTTGACTGTGTCATCACTTTGTGGGGCATTCCCTGGGTGCAGAGAATGTACACCTGTGTGCCTTGGGGTGGCGAGGAGTTGGCCCGCGTGACCGGAGGCTTCCCCTTCCTTCAGCACATACTCAGCCTTGTCCTCTCCTGGGCACACTCCTGCCCTCTGCGCTCAAAGTACCCCACACATGAAACACAGCGCTTTCTTAATGTTTAGAACAAAAGTGTTTAAAAGCTGGTTTCCTCCCCTTCTCTCTTTGGGGCATAATCAGGGCTGCCTCTGGAACCTAACGAGAACATTATCTTTAAAGGTTTTTCTGTGCTGGGAATTGAGACACCTGTTCATTTCTTCTTCCCGTCAAGGCCGGAATTACGGAGGCAGAGCAGGCTGAGCAGTGATGAAATCCGTGCTGTGTGCTTTGAAGAGGGAGTGGCCTGTACCTGCCCCGTGCTAGATGGCCCCGTCCGTGCTGCCAGCCAGGCCGGCATGCGTGACAGGCCTCAGCTGTGATGCCCCGTTTTCTCCAGGGGCATTGAAGGCTCCACGGGCTTGGAGGACAGCTGGGCCCACTGCTGGGAGCCTCCCTTTCTGTGGGGCTGTGGGATGAAGACAGAGAAAGGTGTCAGGTGTCAGGACCAAGGTGGTTGCCCAGAAGATGCTTGTCCTCTTCCCTTGTCTCCAGTTTAGATCTTTTCTTTCTCTACGGCCACACTTTGCAGCAGCTTCACAAATGGCAGAAAACAAGAATAAAACTGCCCCAGAAGGACCAGCTCTTCTGAGCCTTGTGTTTCCTGCTCCACAGGAGGCTGAGAACACCCTGCGTCTGATGCAGAGCAAGCTGAAGGAAGAGGAGAAACGGCTGCTCAAGAGTGGAAGTAGGTTCACTGAGACGCAGGAGCTTTGTTCCCAGACGGCACCGTCAGCCTCGGGAAATTGAGATACACGCACACGGAGTCGTGTGTCTGTGTGTGTGTATCTGTGTTCATGTATGTGGGTGTATACCCATGAACCCACTGCCATTCAGTCCAGTCTGACTCATCACAACCCTGTAACACTGCCGTCAAGTCGATTCCGACTCACAGCAACCCCTCCTTGGGTTCCGAGGCAGTGTCACTACGGAAGTAGATTGCCTGGTCTTCCTTCCCAGGAGTGGCTGGTGGGTTTGAACCTCCAGCCTTCTGGCTCGCAGTCAAGTGCCTTAAGCACTAGGCTACCAGAGCTCCCTGTAGCTGGAGTAGAGCTGCCCCATAGGGCTCCCAAGGCTGTGATCCTTCCAGAAGCTGACTGCTGTACCTTTGTCCCACGGAGCGACTGGTGAGTTCAGACAGCCATCTTTAGGTTGGCAGTGAGCACTCAACCAGGGCTCCACACACATGTGTACATACATGCGTGTGTTTTTAATATTATTTTAAACAATATTTATTTCATATGTACAAACCAAAAACCCACTGCCATGGAGTCGATTCTGACTCATAACAGCCCCTGTTGGGTCTGTGAGGCAGTCTTTATGGAAGTAAATTGCCCTGTCTTCCTTCCACAGGGTGGCTGGTGGGTTTGAACCGCCAACCTTCTGGTTAGCAGTCAGATGCCTTACACGCTGCACCATACATGTATATACGTACACACATGTATATACATACACACATGAGTGTGTGTGTGTGTGCCATATTCTTAATGTTCTTAATGTTCTCAGAAGACAGTTTTCTTAGAGCTTGTCCCTGGGTACCATTGTAATTCACCCAAGAGAGTGGTTTAAATGGGCATTTAGAGCACATCTGGTTCCCATGCTAACTAAACACTGTGTCCCCTGTGTGACTGATACATCTTGTTTGAATTATGTGTAACTGAAAAGGAAATTTGGTCACTAGAGGTTTGTAGCGTTTCTTACCTCATGCAGGTTGATGGAAAGCAGGTGTGGGATGCCGTGGAGTTGTTCCCCTCACACCCCCAACCATCACGTGCCCTCCATGATTCAAGCTGCTTCAGCAAGGCTCTCAACCTTGAGAAAGGGGGTACAGGAATGATACTCCCCAGGACCGATGATCCCTCAGCACTCTTTATCCCCATACCTCATCCAGGTCACCGTGGGGCGGTGTCGCCGGGACTGAGGGCTTTCCTTCCGAGAGCCCGTTCCCTTACTTGCTGCTCTCTTTCACAGTGAAGGGTTTTTCTCTCTCTCATGCTCAGGACAGGCCACCCAGGGCATCAGGCTGCATCCCTCTGTGCTCCCGTTGAATCTCTCGCCTCTGTGCTTGCCCTGGGACCCTGTCCTCAGTACTCCAAGGGAGAAGAAGGACTGCTGGGAAAGTCCCCAGGGCAAGTTCAGAAACTTGAAGGGCCTCTCTAGCCACAGCGTCCTCACCTTCATAGTTCCGGGTCAGCCAGGAGAGCCCACACAGGCCTATGTGATGAGCCTGTGTGGAGCTCAGCCCCCCTCGAGAGGCCCGGCACAGGCGAGAGCCCTGGCGGGTGTCTGCTCGGCGCAGGCAGCGTGTCGAGACCTTTTGTGCTGAGCGTGCTTTTTCTTCTGAACGCTGCTCCTGTGCTCGTAGCTCTGGGGTCTCTGGAAGGACAGAGATTCTCTTGAGCGTGTATCATTGCATTTTTGCAGAAATGTAATTTCCAGTTTAAACCAGGGCCTCAAACTGTTCAGTCATGGCCAGCACAGTGAAATTGGAACAGACCCGAATTTGTGAGATGTGGGTGTACCAGGATGATAACTGGAACGGGAAAATTACAGGCCGAAGCCCTGGAATAGGATACTTGGAAGAGGCACCGCGCGTCCTTGCAGGAGCTTGGTGCAGGAGACTGGACCATTGCCAGGACTGTGGAGCACCACGCACGTTCACAGCGCGCAGTTGGCCGCCATCTTTGAGCTGGGCACCGTTGTTCCCAGCTCTGCTGGACACGAGATTTGCTGTGCAGCGGGTGTGCTGGCCTTGTTCTGTAAGAGGGAGAGTGTGTCTGTAGTCAGGCTTCCCGTCTGGCTGTCGTTTAGATACACCCACGCTTTATGGATTCAGGTCCATTCTGGTGCCACATCGTCAGCCATGACTGAACTGGGAGGAACCTTGGGAAGCTCAGGTTTAAACCAGCTTCACGCAGGGTCGCTCTTACTCAGTTCGGGAGGGCAGAGAAGTTAAGAAAATGCTCATTGCTGGCCCCATTTTCAGGCTGTTGGTCCTCAAGTTCTGATGGCCTGTCTTTACTCTTTGGCACCCAGAGCATTGGGAGGATATTTCTAAAGAAAGATTGCGTTTTTCTCTGTCTGTGAAAGACTCCTCTGGAGGAGAGAAGCCTAATAGCACATAGACACGCAGCAAGGGCAGGAATGGGAGATGTGCAAACGCCGGCCGAGAGGGTCTCGTTCAGTCCACTCTGCAGACAGGGATTCCGTTCAACAGAGCACTGCTGCCTATCTGTCCTGGGTGATGTGGCTGCATCAGGGGACAAGGAACAGGCACCTGCCCCAGTGGGGCTCAGATTCTAGTCACAGGAGGCAAAAAAAAAAACAAACCACTCACTGCCATTGAGTCATCCCGACTCATAGCGACCCCTCCTTGGGTTTCTGAGGCAGTATCACTACAGAAGTAGATTGCCCACCCTTCCTTCTGAGGAGTGGCTGGTGGTTAGCAGCCAGCCTTGTGGTTAGCAGTCCTATGCCTTAGGCACTGCGCCACCAGATGGCGATCAACACGTAAACGCCATCGTAAGCTGGATGGAGGAACGGGCTCCAGGGAAGAAAGTAGAGCAGGGGGACTGGGGTGGGCCTCGTCGGGGGCACTGTGTGAAACGGTCTCAGAACCAGTGGAGCAGGGAAGGAAGGGGTAGTCCCCAGGAGAGCCCGAGGAAGGGCTGGAGGCCAGAGGGGCTGAGGGCGAGGGGCTGTGTGAACGCGGCACGTGCGTGAGCTGGGAGGCGTGCACGTGGGTGCAGTGTCTGCACTGGTGGATCCCATCTTCACTGGGAAGGAGGTGAGGCCATCATGTGGCAGTGGGGGTTTGGAGTGAGGCCCTTGAAGAAGTAGGTGCGAGCTGCTGTGGGGGATGGCAGAGAGATGATTCGAGACGGAGAGTGCCGTCGGGGCCCAGGGGTCCGTCCTGATGCCCTGTGAGTGCCATCATGAGTCAGAATCGATGACGTGGGGTCACCATGAGTCAGAATCAACGGCAGGCAGCGGTGACCGGGATGTGTGGGAATGTGTGTGCGTGCTGTTGGGTTAGATGAAATAGAGAATCACAGGCAGTTCGCCTGTGCCCTTCTGCCTTCTTTAATGTGGCTGTTAGAAGACTTAAAATACTATACAGGGTTCGAGTATGTGCACGGTGCTGAGTGGAGGGGAGGAGCCACCTCCCAAGCGGTGGCGGCTTGTGGATTTGACCTGCACTTCTCTGCTGGCTGAGCACTGAGCATCTCCTCACAGCTTTTTAGCAGTTTGTCCATCTTTGGAGAAACGTCAGGTCCTCTGCTCATTTCTAAAGCAAGCAGTTTGTCTTTATTGCTGAGTTCTAGAAGTTCTGTGTGTATTTGGGTTGTAAACCTCATCAGCTGAGTGACTTGAAATGTTCGCTCCCCGCTCAGTGGGGCGTCTGCACTTGTTTGCTGTGCTTGCTGCAGTTTGTCATCTTGACAGAGTCCAGTTTATCTCTCTTTTTTTCTTTGTTGTTTGGCCTTTTAGTGCCACATCTCAGGAACCACTGTCAAGTCCAAGTTCGTGGAGACTGGCCCCAGTGCGTTCTGCCAGGCATCTGAGCCCTTACATGTCGGTCTCTGAGCTGAGTTCCTGGTTGTATATGGTGAGAGGTAGGGTAGGGGCGCGACCGCGTCCTTCTGCACGTGGACATCCAGCTGTCCTGCCCCTGCTGCAGAGCTGACGCTCTGTGCCATGTGCTGCCACCCCGTTGGCGGGGCCGGGGCTCTCCTATCTGGGACAGTGCGGTGATTTCAGGCCGTGGAACGTCAGCTGCAGTTTCGCTGCTTGGTCTGTGGTGCTGTGAGTTGTCAGAATCTTACTGAGCCTGAGAAACAGGCATGAACTTCACCTAGAAATGCATGAAGTTGCTTGGGTAACATTGCTTGGGATAAGGACTTCATGTCATTGTTTCCCCATATTGAGTAAACAAGGGATTAAGCTGAATTGTGGTTTCCTTTGAAGGTAGGTAGTTGATTTATACTGACGCTGAGTTGTGGTCTTGGTAAAACCCTTCGTAAGGTGATTGTTAGTTGCCATAGAGTTGATCCCACCTCACGTGACCCCACGTGGTAGAGTAGAACTGTCCCACAGGGTTTCTGTGGCCTTTCAGCAGCGGATTTCCAGGAAGGTTTATGAGGTGCTTCTGGGTGAGTTTGAGCCACCAGCCTCTCAGCTAGTCATCGAGTGCTTCCCCATCTGCATCACCCAAGGGCTCCCAGAACATGGAAGTTTTCATGTTAATTGCATTAAAGCCCTTGAAGGAGGCTGTTGTTGGCACTTTGCACGGCTCCCAGGTTTGTTCCTCGTGTGCCCAGAGCCTGGTTCTTCCCTCCACGGCCAGCAAACGTCAGGAAACATCCCCTCAGCCACCCTTCCATTTCCCTCTCTTACAGCAGGGGTGGTCATGACAGTTACTATCCTCCCCAACCGACTTCTGAGCCCATAATCAGAATGGCCCCTGCACACTCCTCCAGTCCCACCTGCCAGAAGCCACCTCGCTCCCAGGCTGCTGAGAAGCTGGGTCCAGATGGTGGAAGCTGACTGTGGAAACTCCTTCTGTAGGTTTGTGAATGTCTGACCTGCAGACGCATGGCTCCAGGAGTGTTTAAGAAACGCACATCAAGGTTTCCTTGAGAAAGGCCTTGTGTTTAGAATGGGATTTTTACAGTCAAGCTCATCGTGACCACGGGTCCCGTCACCAGCCACTGCCCCGCCATCTTCCTCGGGCCAGCCCCATCAGGCCTTCCTTGTGCGTCTCACTGCCCTTTAGTGCGATTCCTCCTTCTCATCTTTGTGAGCATCTAGGGCTTGACTTCCTGTAACAACCATCATTGCACAAAGAGGTTTTGTCCCCACAACTGACAGTTTCCAGCTCTGCGACAGCTGGCTCTTCAGTGTGTGTGTTTGTCATGTGGAATAGTGTTTCTGACTGGCACTCCTGGCCAGTTTATTTCTTGCTCTGGAAAATTGTTTTGAAGCAAACCAGGGTGTCACCATCTGCATGAATGCTTCACCAAGTCATGACAAGCACATCAAGGGTCTCCTAAAATTGGACCCATCACCAGAAAGACTATGTGGGCTGCCAACAGGCCTCACTGGGTGGAAGGGACCACTCAGAACTTTAGGAGGAAAGCCACTCTTGTCTCCTTGTGTCCTCGCCAGGTAATGACGACTCAGATGTCGAGATCCCGGAGGATGACGAGTCCGACAGCGAGTTGGAGGAGAGACGGCTGTCCAAGCCACGCACGGCCATGGAGGTGCTCATGCAAGGTATCTGTGGGCCTCGCCTCCCTTCCCCTATCCCATCCAGGCCACCCTCCCCCCGAAGCACCATGGCTAGGATGGGCCAGGGCTGCTTGGTGCCAAGGTCTGCAGGCGACTGCTAGTGGCCCTTGATGTGGCCCTGCTCCAGTGTTTGCCCTACCCCGTCCTTTATCAGCATTTGTTTTTCAGCTGCTCAGTCTGGTCCTAGTCGATTCCTATTTGTGGCTGGCCTTTCTTGCGGAGGCCTTGGGAACACACTCCCTGGCCACAGGGCTGATTCTGCCCTTTTTGGGTCCCAGATGCCCCAGGGTGATCCTAGCCCTCATGGCCAGAGCATTCACACAGGACGTGAGTGGGCACCACTGCCTTTAGAAAGCTGTTCTTATGGCTGCTGTCTCGTTGCCAAAGCCTCGGGCAGCAGCCTCTGTGGAACAGATGTGAGCACCGCCCTGACTCCACTTCCCACTCTAGGGGGTCACAACCCTGGCCTGGGGCTGTGTGCTCAGCGCGCACGCGTGTGCATGCACAGACACAGACCATCTCAGAATAAACATAAGTGGGGTCAGATTGTATGTCTGCTTTCGCACCTTGACTTTCTTCTTCTGTAACTAAATCAGCTGGCGCTCTTTCCATGTCAGTGAAGTATCTCCGCTGGCCGCATGGCATCACGTGGCCTGGCTGGACCCATTGTCCGTTTAGACTTTCCCCTGCTACTGGGCCATGGCTACCTCTGTTCCTCTCCTTTCTGCAGGCCAGCAGGGATTTCTTTAGGTTGCACCATGGGAAGTGGAATTCTTAGGTCAAAGGCTATATAAATGTTTATTTTCAAAGATCCCATGAAATTGTCCTGTTTGCCTTTCAAAGTATGTCTTACTTACCTACCACCTCTTACTTTTGGAGGCGCAGTGTACCTAATACATTTATGGGGTCTACCACCTCCCTCCCTCTCCCTCTCCTTATTTCCAGTAACTTGTATTGTAAGATGCTCACACGGGACTCCCTCATCTCCATGTGTTACAGTTATTTCTCCTCATGGGATAACATGTAGCTCTGGTTTCCTGTTTCTTCCTTTGCTTTTTTTTTTTTAATGTGTTTTCAGGAAAGGTTTACACAGCAATTTAGGTTCCCATTCAACAATTTCTACACAGGTTATTCAGTGACATGGGTAACATTCTTCACAATGCGTGAATATTCTTGTTATTGCCATCTAGTTGTTCTGTTTCTGTTAATCTAGTTTCCTGGCCCCTTTGCATCCTTCTCTTTGTTTTAAAGTCCTTGTGGATTGGTCTCGTGGTCCTGCAGGTCAGCCAGTCCAGTAGGTCTGTTTTTGTTTTTGTTTTTTTGGAATTGAGGTTCTGTTCCACATTTTTCTCTGTTCTCTCAGGGCCCATCTCATGTGGCCCTGATTGGAGTGGTCAGTAGTGGTTGCTGGGCGCCAGCTAGCTCTGTGGTATTCTCTTTGATTCTTAACAGCTCAGTGGGTAAAACAGAGGCTCTTGTTATAGTCGGGTGCCACTGAGTTGACTTGCAGCTCCTGGTGGCCTCATGTCACAGAGCAGAACTGCCCTAGGCTCTCATCTGTACAGAGCAGATCCGCCAGGCCTCCCCCTCACAGAGCTGCTGGGGTTCAAACCACCAACCTTGGGTCGGCAGCTAAGTACTTTAACCACAGTGGCTAAAGCACCAGGGCCCCTCCGGGTCAGATGGGGTCTCACGGCTCTTCATGCTTTGCTCGTCCCCAGGGAGACCCAGCAAGCGCATCGTGGGCACAATGCAGGGCGGAGAGTCCGATGATGACGTGAGTCCCAGCCACCCCCTCCCAGGGTTCTGTTGTCCTGCCCCGTCTCGGCTGCCTGCTTGGACCAGACTACCTGAGAGGCTGTGCAGTCAGGCTGCAGCCTGGCCAGCCTGGTGTAAGCTGGTGCTTCTCAGGCCAGCCTGGCGCTTAGGTGGTGGCTGGGCCTGGCCTCCAAGGAGCTGGACTGTGTTCATTGCTGGCTGGTGGCTCGTGTCTTTTCTGTCCCCGGCCACGAGCTTGTCTACTCTCTGCCTTCTTACTCTGCTTTCTGGTCTTACTTCCCAAAGATGGAAGCCACGCCAGCTCACTTAGGTAAGTGCACGATTTCAGCTCCAGGAAGCAGGCTGGTTTCTTTCTGTCCTCATCCATTTGTCCGTGTCTAAACTGGTTTGGGACTGGGCCTATGAGTCAGCCCAGGAGTGATGCTTTCCCTCTCCTGGGCCAGAGGGCACTCGGAACGGAGCCCCCCACCACGAACAGGGAGGTGACCTCAGAGTCCTGTGCTTGGGAGCAGAGGTGGGGCGTGGGGCCAAGAAAGGAGGCTGGGGTGGCCGTGGCCAGCCCTGGACTGTAGCCTGAGACGGAGAGTACCGCCGCAGGGCATGGCCTGCCCTTGAACTCCATCTGGGTAAGGAGCGTGGAAGGATGCTCTCCCAAGACCTGGCTTCATAGCGCCTGGGCACAAGAATGCAGTTCAGGTGCCAGCACCCCAAGCAGGACCGCGCAGGTACCGAGGAGGAAACGGAACTGCAGGAGGAGGATGAGGGCCGGGTTATTGGTACTGCCCGGCCGGTCGCTCTGGTCTGTGTTGTCTGTGGTGGTCCTGGGCAGTGCTGCTCAGCCCAAGAGGGTCAGTTCTGTCAGGAAACAGAGGCTGAAGGCTGAATGTACCTGTAACAGGGCTCTGGGGGCCATGCCGGAATGGGGTCATGGTCTCATGTTCTTGTACTAAGTGTGCCCAGAGTACTCTGTTTGTTTGTTTTTTTTTAATTTTGTGATTTGGGTGAAAGTTTAGAGAGCAAATTCATTTTCCATACGGCAGTTCATACACATTTGTCTCATGACATTGACTGCAGTTCCACGGTGTAACAGCTCTCTTCCCACTCCCTCCCATAGTTACCTCTTCCCTGTGTCCTTCTTTCCCAGGTACTCCCGCCCCCCAGCTGTCTCTCTGTGCAAACACTGCCCTTCGGTTCTCTCATGATTGATTGTTCTAAGGAGTGTATCTATCTGATGTAAATGTTCACCCTATATGTCTGCTGTTGTTTGGCTGGAAGCCACAGAAGGAGTTCAATTCCAGACCTGAAGGGCATCTAGGGGCCATAGTCTCGGGGGTCTCACCAGGCTCTTTGAGACCAGTAAACCTGGTCTTTTTTTTAAAATGATTTTGTATTTTGTTCCACATTGTTCTCCCACTCTATCCAGGATCTCCTGCACCAATCTCTTTCCAAGTGGTTGACAGTGGTGGCTGGGTACCACCTAGTTCTGGTCTCATGGTCATACAGGCTGAGGATCGCATGCTGTACCAGTGCCTTGGACTAATTGTTTCCAGGCATCTTTGGTTTTCTTCATTCTTCTGAGCTCTGGACAGGGAGAGACCAGTCACTGCATGTAGATGGTCGCTTGCAAGCTTTTAAATCTCGAATCACTACTCACCAAAGTAGGACATAGAACAACGTTTCTGTGTAGTATGTCATGCCAATTGGGCTTGCTGTCCCCTGCGACCATGGTCCTGAGCCCACAGGTCCCACAACTCACTCCATAGGGGTGGTCAGCTGTGCCTTATCGGGCCTTCTTCTGTGTGACGTGCTGGTCCTTGGTGTGGCTCGTCATTTGTCACCAGAGCACCAGCGCTGCTGACCTGACGGGTGTGTGAGCTTGGGAGGATAGTAAGCAGCGTGGGGCATGGCCGTGCAGGGCTTTGTAGGATGTGACATGGATGCTGGCTTTCTCTGGGTGCAGTGGGAAGGCACTGGAGGTGGTGGGCCTGGTGCTAGGTGCTGTCGTGCATGAAGAGACCAGCCAGGGAGCAGTCACAGCTCCCAGGGCTGAAACGCTGGGGGCGTAGGCTGAGGTGGCAGCCATGTTGAGAAGTGGCCAGACAAGAGCAGTCTGGTGGGGGGAGAGCTTGGTTAGAGTGTGTTTACTAGGGGAGGGGAGGGGACAGGTGGTGGCGGTAGGCGCAAGGAGGCTGCTGTAAAGGGGACGGAACTGCAGAGGAGCCGGAAGGGAAGGCGGGCGTAGGCTGTGTGTGCACACACATGTGCCCCTGTGCGTGTGTCCCTGTGCGTGTGTGCGAGTGTAGGAAGGAGGCAATGATAGCACGTATGTGTGCTGGGGGGAAGGAGCTGGTTAGCGTGCCCAGCCGTCTAGTTGACATGGGACTGGCCAATTGAAAACCAGAAGTCTCTGGCAAACAGAGGAGTGTAGTCTGTTGCGGTGATGAGAGAGGGGGTTTCCTTTGCTCTTCACACCTGTTTCCTGGGTTCCTTTCCACCCCCAATCTGGCAAAAAAAAAAAAGACCAAAGTCAGCCTCCCTTCCTCCCTCTCTAAGCCCCTCCTTCCGTACTCTGCAGTGTGAGTCTCGGGTCGTCTCGGGTCCTGGGAGCAAAGCCAGTGAGCACGCGGCAGGTGCTGCGGGGCTTGCAGGACGTGTGTGCTGGAGCCGGACCCAGGTGGCACGTTGGCCTTTGGAGGTCCGGTCAGGTACTGTGTACTCTGGCTGGCAATACGTAGACTTGGCCCCGTTCTTCAGCCCTGACAGCCTGATCCCCACTCCCCACCAAATGCTTCCTTGATACTGGGGTGCACTACTTCTGCTACTTTCACCCCTCAAGTTGCTGGTAAAAAGGTGAGGCGGGGTCTGGGCTAACAAGATGCTGGCACCAAGGTGGGGCCCACAGTTGCCCGTGTTGCTCTCTCCTGCAGGAGGACTCAGGAGACAGTGAGATGGACATGGAGGAGGACGAGGACGAGGACGACCTGGACGACGAGAGCCTCGCGCTTTCGCCTGTGAAGCCCAGCCGGAGGGTGTGGAAGCCCGAGCCCCTGGATGACAGTGACAATGACTTCTGACCGTCTTTCCAAGGGACCCAGGGGACCCAGCCGGAATAAGGCCCTCAGATTGTAGGCAGACGGGGCCTGGGGGGGGCTAGAAGGCAGCTGCTCACTAAGCCAGCTGGACTCACCCCTATGAGGCAGTGCCGCCTCCTGCCGTCACCTCCCACACTGTGTCCCGTGAAGCTTAAACGAGACTCCAGTCAACCCCACAGATGGTTTGTTGGTTTGTTTATTTTGTGCTTAATTTGCCTCTGAAACCCAGGAGTGCATGTGTCCGTAGCAACTCACACCCACAGGCAGAAACTGGAGAAATGAGAGCTGAGTGCCAGCTGAGCCTGTGACCAGCGTCTCCCTCAGAGTCCGTGGCCCAGACCAGGGGCCGGGGCTGGTTGTAGGGAGGGCTGAGGAGTACCTGGCTGGCTCCCTGCACGACAGTGACGTTAGAACCATCGCTGCACCTCAGCTCATAACTCTAGCCTTCGTCTTATTTTACTGTCCTCTTTTCTCTGCACGCTCCAGTACTAAACTAAAAGAAGGTCAGATGGCAACCAACTTGCCTTGAAAATCAGGCCAAAGGAGGCCCCACCCGAGCCACAGGCAGACCTCCTTCTCTCGCGCTTCATTTTATTACACTTTGCAGATGCTGTCTTTTGACAAACTGAAGTCTTGTGGCAGCCCTGCGTGGAGCACCCTGCGTGGAGTGAGTCTGTCAGAGCTGTTTTTCCAGCAGCTGGCACCCCATGTGTGTCTGCGTGTCTCATTTTGGTCATTCTTGCAATAGCTCACACTTTCTCATCATGCGATTGCAGCTCTGGTGGTGCACTGCCCAAGGCATCTCACTGCTCACCAGAAGGCTGGCGGTTCAAACCCACCAGCCACTCCTCGGAAGGAAGGTTGGGCAATCTACTTCCGTAGTGATACCACCTCAGAAACCCAAGGAGGGTTAGCTGTGAGTCGGATCCGACTTGACAGTGGTGGGTTTCAGCATGCGACTGCCCGTGCCGTAGACTGTGGTATGGTGGGAACATAACTTGGATGCACTGGGAACCAGAAAGTGGAAGTGACTCACTTCATGCACTGTTTTGTTTTGTCACAATGGTCTGGAGCCAAACCGCCAACATTGTTCTCAAGGAGTGCTTTCTAGTCTAAATGATGAGAACACTTGAGCCCACTGTCAGGGAGAGGAGGCAGGTCTCTGGAGTTTCCCTCTGTGGGGGAGTGGCATGAGGCCAGTACCGACTGGTGTGATCCAGGCCTGCACGAGGCCGAACAGCTCTAGGAGCAGCTCCTGTCAGCAGGTGGCAAGTGACAGGTGGGTGGAATTGTCTCGGTTTCTTTTTCATTGAAAAATCACAGAGTCATATTTATTTATTTCAGTTATAAAGTCAACGGATTTTTGAAGTTACATATATACATATGTGTATGTGTATGTCTGTATACATACTCCCCCCGTGTGTTCAATTTATTGACACTGGTGACATTGTTTGAGTTGTGCAACCATTCTCCCCTCCTTTTCTGAGTTGTACCTCACTCATGAACCTTAGTCTCCTATGGCTCCTAAGGCCCCTGTCTAATCTGTTATGTGGCTGTTGTCACTTGATCCCAGAGACATAGATCTTAAAAAAGCAGAATGCTCAAAAGCAGACCTTTTTTACTAGTTCAGCTAAACTTGTTCGGTTTTAAGAAGACTTCAGGGGATATTTTTGGTTTAAGGTTTAAAGATTATCTCAGGGCGGTGGTTTTAGGGGTTCATTAAGCCCCTGTGGCTCCAGAAAGTCTAGAGTTGATGAGAGTTTGAAGTTCAGTTCTGCATTGGCCCCCTTTTTCATCAAGATTCGTCTGTGGAGTCTTTGGTCAAAGCGCTCAGTAGCGGTGGCCAGGCACTCCCCAGCTCTCGTGACAAAGCAGTGCAGGCAGGTGTTCACAGAGGCATCGGCCACACATTCCAGGTCCTCCTCCTGTCCCAGACTCTCACTCCTCTCTTGCCTCAGATGAATCTACAGTTGATTGTGGGGTTTTAGTTTAGACCAGGGACCAGTTGTTGCGCCTCAGATGGCCGCTTGCAAGCTTTGAAGACCCCAAGCACTATGCACATACCAGGAGGTAGAGCAGAAGCTCTAAACAGGTTATTAGGCCGACTGCCTGGGGTGAAGTTAATTTTATATCTATCTATATATATTGTTGTTGTTGTTGTTATGTGCCGTCGAGTCGGCCCCGACTCATAGCGACCCCTCCTTGGGTTTCCGAGGAGTGGCTGGTGGGTTTGAACCGCCAGCCGTCTGGTTAGCAGGCAAGTGT